CTTTTGCGAGCGATTCCTACTTGCGTGCGATTCCCATATGCGAGCGATTTTTCTAAGCGTGCGATTCCCTTTTGCGTGCGATTTTTCTTTGCGAGCGATTCCTACTTGCGTGCGATTTTTATATGCGAGCGATTTTTCTATGCGTGCGTTTATTATTTGTGTGCGATTTCTACTTGCGTGCGATTCCCATTTGCGTGCGATTCCTTATGCGAGCGATTTTTACTTGCGTGCGATTCCTATTTGCGTGCGATTCCCATATGCGTGCGATTCTTATTTGCGTGCGATTCCTTTTTGCGAGCGAGTCCCACTTGCGTGCGATTCCTATATGCGTGCGATTCCCGTTTGCGTTCGATCCCCGAGGTTTTTTAGTGGGTTCGAGTCCCACACTACCCTGATCTTTTTTCTGGGATATGGTGATCCCTCAGAAGGGATCAGGGTGTGCGGGGGCATTTTTCCTCGTAAAAAAAAAAAAAAAAAAAAATTACGTTTGTTTTATTTACGTGTAAAGGCTGTATAAGTATAAGTGTTGCAGCAGAAGCATATGTGCAATAGGTGCATGCATTTTATGCACGATTGTGGTGGATGTAGTAGGGTTTAGTCGATTGTGCATTATTCGCATGCGTGCATAAGTAGTACATATACGTACGCTCAAGTGTATTTTCGCATTCGTTTTATTGTGTGTGTGAAAGAAGTATCTAATTTAAGAGCAGTTTACTTAGGTTTATAGATCGGATATGTTACGTGACATATCAGTCACATAGTCATGATGATAAGTTTTGTTTGTTCGCTTTCTTTGTAACGGTCGATGTTACAAATTTTGAAATGTCGAGCATACAAGTTTAATAAATTTCGTGGTTTTAAAAGATAGTGATATATATGTAATAAAGATACACACACTGGAAATGCAAGGTGAAGTAATATAAATGTTTTTTTACAATAAGATTTTATAACAGTTAGTCTCAAAGGTTTCATTGAAAAGTAAAAAAGAAATAGGAAAGTTATTGTGTTTGGTTATTGTAAAACTAAAGTTTTGAACATTATGTTATATCGATAAGAAATGATTGTACCTAACGTATTAGTTAGTTTGTGAAAGTCACTTGTTCTCGTTGTTTCAAATTCCATTAAAGCTACAGTTTTGGTTACCCTGTGTTCGTCAAAATTGACGCTTGAATTGCGCCAGAAATTGCAAAGCTTTAGTATATCGTCATTATTTTGCGAAAGATAATAGACCTTAACTTTGTTTATTATTTTTAGTGTTTATTATATTATCTATTTTTTTCGTGTTTAGTATATTATTTATTTTTTTAATATTTTTATTATATATATTTTTTTTTGTTATCTATTTTCTTTTCGTGTTTATTATATTATCTATATCTTTTCGTGTTTACTTTTTTTCTGAGTTTTATGATTTTGTATTTCAGCTGAGAGAAAACTGCGGAGTGCGGCTAGGGTCAGGTGTCGACTTGACACTTGGACTCGTGCACATAGCACGGAATAGAACCATGTCGATGTTTGGACATTGTTAGCACAGACTCTTACCGAGATACATTTTTATCGTATGCGCCTGAAAGTGGAACTCGTTTCGTAGTTCGCGAGTTTCACGCAAAGTGGAACCTGGCGCTGAAAGTAGCGGCTGGAAACCGTCTTAAAAAACAACAATAGCATGGCCGCTCTCAGCCTTCTCTCTGGTTTTAGGACAATTATAAACCAACCCTAATGCTTTGAAACGTTTACAGTGAGGCTTTGACCGCAACCATTGCCTTTTCTTTGGTTAAGGTTATGTTACTTTGCTGTGAACTAGCCGCCGAGCTGATTTACCATTTGTACTTTCTGTTTTCAAAATATTTTGCATTCTTATTCTTCTTGTCATAATATAATTGAAACCGTTGTCATGGGGTCAAATCGTACGACCGAATTGAACAAATTGATGATTGACTTGGAAACGAACGAATTGGAGGTAAGTTTTTCACACTCGTTATAAATGATTTGTAAATTTGTTATTCCAATCGCTATTCTCTCGTGTTTAACAATAACAATTAACAGTTTAGGTCGTATACACATTATGAGAAATGAGATAATTTGAATTAAGTAATTGCACTTTTGTATGTTTTTTTGTATTGTTTTAGTCATCAACTGGAGTTCTAAGTGCTATTGCTTACACACAACTACTAGCTATTTATCTCTACAGAAATGAATTGTAAGTATAAATAAAGTCAGATATATTTATATGTATGATACTTTTGTAGCGCAATTTAGCTTTGGGATTCTTCTAATGTGTCGTATTATTAATTACATGTGTGTACTAAGTTAATAAAGAATGATTTATTCAATTTATGCACAAACACATGTAACTAAATATCTGACCGCTTTCGCGGTTGTATTGACATTCGACGATGTTTTTCGAATTTGAACCGCAACAGTATCGTTTTTATACCGACGTTTCGTGAACATTTCAGCTCACTTTATCAGAGTGTCAGGCTGCTCTTGATACTCTGATGAAGTGAGCTAAAATATTTACGAAACGTCGGTATGAAAGGCGATTTTTTTTGGCAATCGTATGGTACATGTATCGAAGTATAGTTATGTACCAAACGATCGTCAAAAATTGCCTAAAAATGACATTAACGCGATTCATACCCGAAAAACAATCATCTTCGAATGTTAACATATAACTAAATATATGAATGTATTTTAAATAAAGTTAATTGATTTGTTCTGATGTAACTTTGGTATTTTACAAAGCTATGTAATTTAATTTCAATTTAATTTAATTTTATCTATCGGTTACTGTCGTATAGTATAGTTTCTTTTTCATTTAATATGTTGCATGCCAGATTTTCAATGACTTTCTATAGACTATACGATTTTATCAGAACCACTTTATCAGAACTGATAGTTTTGCTTGTGACATATGCCCTACAATATTTATAATATCCCAAAAATCATAAAAGAATAGTTTTAAGAATTTCCATTTAATAAGGAAATTTTCAAATGGAAGTTCGATCGGAAAATTCAAAGTGGGGCGTCTACGACTCACGATGTGAAACATGTTTACAATCTAGTTTTAGTCTTTATATTAGACTAAATTGACATAATTATTCTATTTCTTTATTATATTTTTTATTATTTCCTTGAAATTGTGGATTGATCAATGCTTTAAATGTGTAAGATATGTTTTCCTTGCAAAAAGCAATCGTTACTATAGAGCGAAAAACGGTGATGTAAAATATTTAGCAAATTTTGCTAACAATCCTGCACTAAAATTTGCGATCAATTTTATTTTGCATCATACTCAATGTGGACATTGGTCGAATGTTTTTAGTGATTGGCTTGTTTAAATAAACATGCATTGATCACACAGATGCCAGGCCAAGTTTCTTTGGAAACGAATACCTCAAACTGTGAAATCCTCTCATCCTGAACTCGATCGAGTATGGCAGATAGGACAAAGCATGTGGAAACGTCATTGGGCTCAAGTTCATACAGATCTTAAACAGGAATGGAGTGAAGATATTAAGGAGATTATGGAAGTTCTCAAAGGTAAATCAAAAAGTAAAAGAATTACTTTTATTATGCTTTGATGAAAATTACTAATAAAATTTAAAGAATTGAGAAAATTGCTAGTCATGTATATTCGTTATTTAATAGAAGTAGAAGACGAACAATAGAAACAGGATATCTTTTCTTCCACATACACCACCAGTGTATGTAGAAGAAAAGAATAATACAGATTTAAGTTTAATTTTTATATTTAAGAGAGATTCTTCGAGCTATAAAAATTCTTGTTTGACTTTTGCAGATATGTTACATGAGAGAATAATGAGGCTGATAGCAAAGGCTTACTCTTCATTGGATTTGACAGCCATGGCAACGATGTGTGGACTGTCGTTGGAAGAGGCAAAACTGGCCGCGATTAACAGGGGTTGGAATGTCGACGGCACAATAGTACAACCGCGCATAGAAAAAAGAAGCGACGAGGACGAAGAACAATATCAGAATGAGATGAGCAAGCTTTGTTTAACAGAAGAACAGCTGCAAAAACTCACGCAATTTGTCTCTTTCCTAGAAAATTAAAAGAGTTTCATTTATTTATGAAACATACGAAGATATTGCTGCAAAATCTCGTTGACGGACTTGAAGCTTCTCTCGCAATTTCTCTCGCCTCGTAATCCTATTATATAAAAGAGGAAGTGCGCGCCAAAGGTAGCATCATCGGTGTTCGTAAAATAAGCCCTCATAAGAGAGAGAAAGAGAAAGAGCGTGTGTGTGTGCGTGCGTGTGTGTGTGTGTGTGAGCGAGAACGAGAGTAAGAGAAAAAGAGCAAGAGAGAGAGAACAAGCGAGAACAAGCGAGCGAGAATGACAGAAAGCTACCCACGCAGTTTGTCCGTCCGATCGGAAGGATAATTCAATGAAGCTCTTTATAAGCGTGGAGTCAACAACTAAACTAATCGATAATCAGCTGTGCGTGCGAGAGGACAGACTGGCATTTGCAGTACAAGACCTGCAAGAGAAACAGTTCTCTCTTCTCCCCTCCTTATTCGCTTCTCGATGAGAATCCCCTGAAAATACACACTGCGACCGTTCGTGGCTCTGTAATTATCAAAGTGGATAGTCGCAGTAAGAATCGGGCAGATAGCCGTTAACGTTTTCACGACGACGACGTGCTCTTTCTAAAACACGTGTGTGACATAACGAACAATTTCACGCGTGATTCCTCGTGATATTTTTGAATTTACAAAACAAAAAAACAAAAAAAAAAAAAACAAACTCAAACAGCATTATATTCCGCTGGCACTTAGTGATATTTGTTTGCTGGATTTTTATAAAGTGTACTATTAACAGCAAGTGAGTGTTTATATATTTGATTTTTATGTTCACTAATTAAATATTATATATATTTCACTATTAAATATTATATATATATATATGTATGTATACATACATACATATTCTCGCTCAATATTTTCTTAACATTACTTAGCAAAGTAATGTTACATTTTACATTTGGATTCTCAATAGATTTTTCGAAACATTTGAAAACTAAAATCGATTTAATAATTTCTATTGTTTTTTTCACAGAGATTATATAACATTAGTAATATAAAAACCATTTTTTTTTTTTTTCAGAATTTCACTTAACCACAATAATATATATATATATATCAATTGTATATACTTTATTGATATTATTATTATTCTATAAATATTACTTTTGTTAATCTCAACTCAAGTTTAATTGAAACTCTTCTGCTATATCTTATAAACTAGGTGAAGAAAAAAATCAGATTAAAAAAAAAAAACTGCAATTGCATGACGTTTTTTTTTTACTGAAATGTGTTTCGATCAATCATCAAAATTTATTTCTCACGTAATCTCTCAAAAATTACAAATAAATTCAATTATCAGTAACATGCATTCGATCTTATTAACACAAAGACGGGGAGCGTCCTTGCGCGTTTCGCTCGTGAAAGCTTTGTCAAAAAAATCCGCGGGGATTCGCGGCGATTCGAGTTGCGTCACGCAAATCGAATCCTCGCTCGGGAAAAATACGCAGGTGAGGTTACGCTCCGAAGCGGCACGTGATTCCCTATGAAATCGATTCCGGGCCAGCCGTCATTGTTATGTGCCGCTGATCTCCCGCGCGCGGTGTTACGCAATCCCGCGGATATTCTCGAGGAGACCTGCAGCGGGTTGCAGGTAGCTCGCGGTCTCCCCGGTATCGGCGGTTGTGTTGCTCTTTTTTCGGGCCCCGCCGCCACTCTAGAAAGTTGTTGCACCAGTATCGTTAGTACTACACGCGTGCGTACGATCGCATGTTCTCGCATGCATGTTTCACGCTAGTCGCTAATCCGCATCTCACCTGTATCAACGCTACAACGTGCTGAAAAGTTATATACATGTTGAATAAAGTTTTAAGATTTGCTTTTTATTTCTATATTCAACTTAAAGTTATTAATATACATATAATAGCTGGTAATACATTTTCTCTTGATCGGTTGAATACGTTAGCTTAATAAATTATTATTGTAAATACATGGTAAAATATTTATATGTATGTTTAATTAATGTCTGTTTAATATTCATGTTTTATATTAATTGGGAAAAATGTAATTTGAAAAATAGCCAATGAGAGAGAGAGAGAGAGAGAGAGAGAGAAAAAGACTGAAGAGAGAAAATTTGTACATTATAGATTCCACATCCTTTACATCGCGCTTCTTTCGTCAAATTCTCACACCTCAATATCGAATAACGTCTAGGAACGTGAGAATCGCTTCGACGAAGATCTGCCGCGTTCGGTTTCTATTCGCGAACGATTGTTTCGATCTCCGCGCGCGCGGTTACATTATTCGATCGCGGATATTTCGCGAGGAATATGCATGCTAACGAGAGAAGTCGAAACGCTCTCGTCGGCGTTCGTTTGGGTCGCTTCTATTATGCGGAATAGAATGCACGTCATGCTGTATATCCCTCCGGAGTCACGGAAGTAAAAGCCTTTGTAGTTTGTTTTTCTTTTTTTTTTTTTTTCGAAAAATATAGAATGAAACGTGCTTTTGTCTCTACTTTTTCTTATGTAAAAAAAATCTGTACTTTTTTGCAATGTATTTAACACGCAACGTAAACAAGAGTGTCGAAATGAAACATTCTGTAATAATTCATCCGATAATATTGCGCGCGATCATATCGTCTTTTGATCCAAGGCTCTTCCTTTCGCGGCACGTGTTTCGCGGGAAGTCGTTAGAACGCGACCGGTTGATCAAAATCATCCGGGCTAATTTTCGCGCGCTAATTCCGGCGTGTGGGAATATGCTCGCAGAAAAGCGTCTAACCAACCTGTCGAACACGCGGAGAAGGAAGGCGTGTTTCCCACGCGAGCGCGCCCGCACGTATGTTACAAGCCTATCCTATCCTAGACGCGCCGTATCGAGAACGCGCGATCGCCGCAATAATCGGTATCGAAAAAAAATACGTTTCTAGCGACCAGCGGGGGGTTGCAAAGTGCGCGAGCGCAGGATGTGGCCCGAGACAAGGCCTGGCGATAACGGGGCCCGACCCCCGAGCTTGTTGTAAAACGTACGCGCGCGCACTGTTTTCACGAGTCGCGCTCTTCGCTCGCGTGCGCGCCTTCGCTCAAACGCCGTTCGCTCAATAATGCAGATTCATCCGGCGAGATGATTGCATCGCGATATCGCACCGCCGGCCGCGATATTCTTTTTCGTCCCGATCCCGAGGCACGGAGCGGCTCGGACGGGGACGAAACGATCACGAACAACAAGCTTCGAAACGTAGACTAGACGATGCCTCGTTCGCGCCTCGTTTGCGAGTTGTCGAACGTTTCGCGGCTCTATCGGTCTTCGTTAACCTTTCATCTGAGGTGAGACCTCGTGAGCGAGGTCCCGGAGAATTTGTCTTTTCGCCACATCTGTTCGCGTAGATTGAGTTGCCATCCCTCGATTTGATGAAGTAACAAAAGAGATGGATGGACAAGCTTAACACATAGTTGTAGTTTAGACCAGATTTATTATTTTTGCGCACATCCGTAGATCCGAGGAATTTTTTTTTTTAGGATCACTCAAATAAATTTTATGTCGAAATAAGTAAAGATACCTACGTGTGGGTCGGTAGAACGCAACAAGACGTAGACAACAAGATTGATGTAAATAGATTGTTATGAAAACACGCGCGTGTGTGTTAACGCGAAACATTTAAGTATATATATAGGATTTGCGTTCGAAGTCGTTTAGATTCGAAGATACGTTAAAAAGATATAAAACCGCAAAATGCGCTGGAAATAACATTAGAAAATAACGTGACTAAGAATTATTTTCTAAATTAAAAGAGATCGCGCGCACATTGCAGAAAGAAAGAGTTGTGCGCGAGAGGACTGTAATTACTTTGATATTTCGTGAAAGACGTATATATGAAATTAACGTAATGTAGCTTTTACGCTGAATCTCCCTTCGATGCGAGGAATGAAATTGCAACCTCCTCCTCGCGCTAGTGATTTACGAGAATGTAATTTATTCGCCCTACGGCGATGTAATCGAAGTGACTATCAAGCAGCGAAAGAACACTGATCCGGAGTCTTCGCGATGAGACGCCGGGGAATACAGACATTAGCGTATCTCGTTGCACATCCGTTCGATCGTCCATCATCGATAAATCGCCCAATATTAACAATTGCATACTTCTCAATTGAAGTATTTAAATATAACATTTTGTTCGAAAGAAAAAAACATTGGAAGAACAACGGGAGATCGGAAAGAATTTATATTAAAAAATTTCAACAAGTAAATAATACAAAAAGAAAGATAAAAATTAATTGTAAAAAAAAAAAAAAAAACCCAGAAAACCTGGTACGTGTGACACCCTTATTTGATGGAGATAATTCACCCTGAGAATAATAACAGTCTCTATTCCGAAGACTTTCAGGTTCTCTAGACCCCAACGATTATCTCGGTGTGGCGCGACGCGGAGTATTAGCGAAGACAAGCGAGCATCGGTTTGCAACATTAAACGAAGTGAAGGTGAGAGGCGAGAGGGAAGAGTCAGAGCCGGGTTACCGGTTACCTCAGCTGACCTCCCCTCGTAAGAGTACGCGCCGGTGACTCGCGTCTTCTTTCCCGAGCTCGCTCGCGCGCTCGCTTGCGGGTGACCTTTGCGCGTCGCGGAAAACGCCGATGCTCTCTGCGCGAGCGAGCGAGCGGCACGAATCGAACGAACGCGCGCGACTAGTCGATTTCGTAAGTCGCTATCACGCGCGCACTGCGGCGGAAGAATCGTCGGAGTGAGACGTCGGGGACGAGGAGTGGATGATGATAATGACGAAGAAGAAGTATAAGAAGGCCGGGCGAAGAGCGATTCCCCTTCGCTCTCTGGCTTTCCTTCTCCTCGCCTTCATTTTCTTCGACCCCCTCGTGACCTCGTGTCAGTCGCTCCGAAAAGAACTCAAAGGGATGGTATATGCGAGTTACGCGGGGTCAAAATTTTCGATAATTAAAGGCGATGGTGTTTTGTCTGCGTTTGCCGGCGAGACCGATGGTTCGTTTCACACGTGCGGAGAAAAGGGCGTCCAGGTTTCAGAGTGACCTTTTCTTCTTGGTACCACACTTCTGGATATTTTTATCGCGCAGGACGCTACTTGCACTTGCTTCTAAATGATCAATAAGAATCTGCGTCGCATTATCCGCGCGCGACGCGCGCGGATTTCTCATCTAATCGGAGAACGCGAGCGCGCTTCGGGGCGTCGCGACGCTACGCCGCAACGTCCAATCACCAGCGTGCGCGTCGTCGTCGGTTCGCGTTTCAGATTTTCAGCTTCGACGAAGATCGCGATGGCTGAAAACAACGAGAAACGTTGTTAGACGGGAGGAGAGATTATGCGTGCTATCTCTAATTTCAAGGATTTCCCTTTTTATTTTTAATTACTCGTGTGCTCCGAGAGACTTTTAATAGAAAAAAAAAAATACGCGCGATCTTTTTGAAATTATGTTAATTAGAAATTGAAAATAAGCGTAAGCGATCAGATCTATTTTGTTCGGAAAAATCTCTCCGTGTATTAGCGAGGAATGACAGAAGTACGTACTCGCCGGTCTGTACAACAAGACTTCTTTCTTTTCTCTTTGTCATCACGATTCAAAGCGGAACGAGCACGCTATGTTTTCTCGCGTTCAATTACCCGCCACAACCTCTTCGTTGCGCAATCAAGCAATACACCTCACAGGGAGTTTGCATTCTGACGATAATTCTGAGGATCCTCATTCTT